TCCTTGAGTATGCCGCGTCAGCATGTTTCAAGTCCCAAACACGACCACGGGGAAGTGAAGTAGGCGTGTGGCATGGCGCCCGATCTTTTCCGGGGCGGGCTGAAAATGCAAGGGAGGGCCGTCATCTTCGCTGCCCGGAGCCTTTGGAAGCGTTTGTCTTGTTGCTGTTGCGTGTTTACTTAATGCATGGTATGCATATTCTGTAGTGTACGTTTGTTGCGGTACGGTCATGTTCTTTCCGGTCGTATTCGCTGGGTTTTTTTAGGGGGGGGGGGCAGGGGCGCAGTAGTACCTGCTACAAAAACAGGTGTTTGTTGTTGATATTCTTCTTTTTATTCCCCTTTTCTTGACCTCGTTGGCGTCTTGTGCGTCCTATGCATAGGTGTCGGCCGCGTTGCGGCAGCGCGAGACGTTTTACTCGAGGCTCTCGATTGAGGTCGGAATATCGCCTGTTCGAAGCGGTTAGTTGGTATCTACGATATATTTTTTGTGTCAGATGGGGGGGCATGGATCAGGCAGAGCGAGCGCACCGCGGAACAGGCGGTTGGTTTTCCTTAGCAAAGCTGGGGGGGGGGGGGTAGGTCAATTAGACGCTCTTCAGCGAGTTTGTGTTTAGCGTTATTTTTCTAGGCTGGTTGTTGACGACTCCAAACTTGTGCTGCTTTTGCCGAGGACCATATACGGTTGGGAGGGATGCTATTGGCAAAAATTCGTCGATGAATTACTCGGAGCCGCCCGGGGCCAGCAGTAGGAGTAGTACCACAAGTATGACTAATACAAACAAGATTGTGGCGTAAGATTTGCAGTTGTTTGGTTTGATGCGCGGCAAGCCCAGTTTGAATATATTTGCATATGTTGGTAGAGAAGTACGACACCGGTATGTTACGGACGTAGGTTACGGGCGCCTTCACTTTTTCAATTGCTGCTGCTGGGTAGGGGTGTTGCGGCGTAATCATCAACCTGTATCGCACAGCCATTGACCAATCGCGTCATCCCTTTCTGTGTCCGGGTGGTTGGTATCTGGACGTAGGTTAGAGTTTTGTGATAGATGGATGCAGGGGGAGTGTATGCCACGACTATGTTGCAACCGGAAGAAGGGCCAGAACAGTAAGTCACTATGAAATTATCAAATGTGTTGCAACCGGAGGAGCACAACGATTGAGCCAAAGTGAAAGGATCAACCCACTGCGAGAGCAGTTAAACTGGCGTTTCGATACAAGGACAACTTTGATTGGGTGCTTTATTTTTTCGCCATACAAGACGTCAGGCACACACCATTAGTGGTTGCTTGAGTGGTTCAGTTTGAAACCTCGCAACCATCTGGCGTTTGGGACGTAGGCTCGAATCTGGGCGCAGTGTTCTTGGCCAGAAAAAAATAATCCGAATCGCATAGGAGAGTGGAATGATTTCGTTCGTCCATAATCAAAGAAAACGGCCGGCGGCACAATGGCAAGGCCTCGAGTAGCGCTCTACTGCATCTGCACAAAGGGCGCGAAGAAGGAAGATAAACACAAAAAACACAACCGAAGCACATACGATGGTACTCTTAAACGCTCCCAATATATTTCTCTCTTCATAAGTGACCATCCCACTCTCCTGTCTGTATTCCTCGTCCCATTCTACCCCGTTCCACAATTCGACTCAAGGAGTTCACCTCAAAAAGCTGGGAGTTCGTAGCACAAATTCCGGCGCTGTTGGCACCCTATCTGGCACAGAATCCGAACAAGTTCCGTAGCGTTTCACACTCATCAAGCCGTTGGATCATGTCTTTCATGCTGGTGGCCACGCCCTGTACACAACTACAATTGCTCAAGGTTTGGCATCTATCTTCCGGGAAGACCGCGTGGAAACACTTGACCTTCTAACGTGCCACGACCTATGTTACTACACAAGAACTTCTTGTGTTGGGCATCCTTGCAGCGTATTGCTCTGTCAAGAAACAAACAGACAACATTCAACCTTATTGTGGGGTCGAATTTGACAGTAATTATCAATAAGAAAAAATCAAACCATCACGTCTCCAATACCAAGTTGGTGCCTACTGTAAACATCATTTCGGGAAGCTTCGTCTCCTTGTACTTCATGGTTCTTGACAAGACCAACAAATAGGTCTCCAATGAGATCTGCCCGTCGAACAACTCGCACCCCGCTATTGACGTCCACCAATACTACTCCCACTCTCCCATGCCGTTCACCACATAGCAGGAGGGAAGAAAATTCGCAGCCCTCCTCGTATGCGGTGTAAGTCAGTCTCCTCAACTATGTTGAAGACAAGAATTTTTTCTTGAAAAGAGAGCAATCAGAAATCAGAGAGGAAACAGCGGCTTAATCCTTGCCGTCAGTCCTTGCCGTACAAACTCGTTTCAAGAAGTTTTCGTTGGAAACATTGATTTTTTTCTCAACTTGGTATACCCGCCGCAATATCTCCACACGAACCTCACAGGAGGTACAAGTGCACCATACAAGGAATCACACGCCACCCCCAAAATGCTGGCCTGCGTTGTCAGCCTCTCAACGGAACGGCACATTATGTATTCACGGAAGCAGCCAGCCTGCCCCGGGCAACGCCTTAACGGCTCGTTTTGCTCGATCGTTCACCGCCCTCAGGGCTTGAATGTGCGGCTCGTCGTCTTCTAACGGGATGACGCTGCTGTCGCGACCTACGCCCAGGCGCTTCACTACGGCATTGGCCGCCTCCACCCCTGTAACGAACGCTTTTTTCTGTCGG